TATATATATATATATATATATATATATATATATATATATATATATATATATATATATATATATATCAGCGGATTTAAGAAGTGGTGGGGGGACGCCCTCCCCTTCAGGCATTGGACCCCATGCCGACGCAAAAGGTCTCTAAATTTTTTCTAAAGGCGCCAATTTTTACTAACTTTGAGGGGCAGCGCGTGCCGAAAAAAGCGATTTTTCGGTCAACATTTTCTAAAAGTGTCTAAAAATGCTTTTTTGGCCTGTTTTTTTTGAAATTCCGCAGCCCCCCCTCCAAGAAAATCTTAGATCCGCTCACAAAACCATATAAATGATCGTTTTTAATTTCATTTAGTTGAAATTTTTTAAGCTCTAAAAATGTTGAGCTCTATAAAGATTTACGACAACTGATCACATTTTGAGCTCTATAATGATTTATGACATCTGATCATGCCAGCTCTTTGAAGGAAAAACTTAACCCGAGCAGAAACTAAATTTCTCCAACGAATTTATTTTTAAAAAAATGACAGAAACAGTTTAACTCAGCACTAGGCAGTAGCTCAACTGCTGTAATTATTTAAGGAGCAAAAATTGTGAAATGGAAAGGAAATGAATTGGCTTCCGTTCGGACACTCAGTGGGATTCAATTTGGGCTTGGATTTGTTAGGGATTTTGTCACGTGGCTCGGTCTTACCCCCTGGGAACCAGCTGTGCAATGCAAAATATGAAATAAAAAAAAACTCAGCAAAAATCATTTTTGCATTATCTATTGCTATACTTCTCAAATGAAAATTTATATATTGAACAAATGAAGATTCAGTTTCCAAAGACTATTCTAAGTGGATTATATTGTCTCTAATTAGCTCACTGCTTTTATTTTGGAAGTAATGTACTCTAAAAACCAAGGCGATAACTTTGATTTCATATCGAGTTACTACGTTTTTCTAAAAAAGAAAATTTAGTTTTTGAAGTATATATTTTTTTCAATATGATAGAAAGATAAATAAAACCCAAACAAGCAGACTTCTACAAAGATATAAGACCAAATAAATTGCCTGCGACAGTCGAAACCCCCAAAAAATGATCCACTGAGATTGGAGAAAAACTGTTTAAGGCCGGTGACACCTCAGCAAAAGCGATAGAAACTGAAACTAAATTTTTGCGATTCAAAAATGCTTTCGACAAAATCAGTCCACTTAGACATCACTGAACCTGTGCACTTAGACATCACTGATACTGATATGTCCATTTATGAAATTCTCAATTGTTCATTTAATGCCCTAAGTTAAATGTGAACTTTGTTGACAAAAATCTGAGACACTTTTTTATATTTCCGCCAAAAAAATAAGGAGAATTTGTAGCTGAGTTTTATAAAAAATAAGAATTTTTAAAAAGCAAGGCGGGATAAGTTGGGAAGCCCTGAATCTTCCGATTGCCCTTTAAGATATATGGAGCAGCATTAAACATTAAGAAAATTAAAAATAATAAGATAAAATTAATTTTTTTTAGTTAAAATTGTTTTTTGGAAAATAATCCCCCCACACGCCACATAAGTACCAAGTGATAAATTTCACTCCTAGTAACAAACCAATTATGGCTAATAAGCTTCTTTCATTCAATTTAGAACAATTTCTAAGACGGAATAAATCTCCGCTTACGCAATAATAGCAAGAAATATATCGCGCGTTAGTTGTCTCAAATTAGCCAAAATAGCAATCTGAAAGCCCCGATAAGCTTACAAAAATTGATCACAGGTCAAATATTTTTTCAATTTAAGCTCAAAACAACAAAAATATGTGAATGATAAAAAAAATCCGTCAAAAAGTTTACTTGAAAAGTCAAAATTTGTCTGAAGAAAAAAACCACCCCGGGCACAACTATTCCTTTTTCTTTTCGTGACGATAGTCGAAACAATAGTAAACTACTTTGCGGACTTACCAAAATGAAAAACAATAAGTGAAAGTTTACTTCTGGTATAAATGAAAAACAAGCTGCGATGAAGAAAATTTGTTCAATCGACGAAAAAAAAAATTTTGACCTGCATGAGCATAGCAATAATAGCGACTTTTGCAAGTGATGCCTATTTTTTTGCTACAAATAAGGTCATTCATGTTCCATAGTTTGTATAAATTAGTGCAGCTAATTAATGGCAAGGTGCTATAAAACAAAAATTTTCTTAAAAGAAAGCCAACCTTGTAATCTTCATCTTTAATTCTGTTTCCCCTGATTTCTAAAGTTTAAAGTTGACTCCCTGTGGTATCAAATCCTTGCATATCGGCTAATTTTATGTCTTAGTATCAATCGCTTCTCTGTTTTTTGTTTGGGATTATTTCAACCTTCCAAGTCTGCTTCTCTTTTCAGGCTGTCGTGACTTTATGTCCAGACTCTCGTGACCCTTTGTTCAGCCTACCGCAGCAGCATCGTAAAATTCTTGCAAAAAAAACCTTGAAAATTCCATTTTTAGTTATACGATTTTAGCTACTTTAGCTGTTTTAAATCTGTAATTTTTTTTGGTTAAAAATTACAGGTATAACTAGGGGAGAAGAAACCAAAACTTACCACAACTTACACCACTAAATGCAAGAATATAGGGAAATTGTCAAGCCTCAATTTCAATTCGCTTTATATAGACTCAATTTAAAAGCGTTGTGAGAAGTTCATTGCTCGTCACGGTCAATAACAATTTGATAAAACAATAATTTCTCTACCCTATGTCTACATTTTTTTCATCGTTTTTTGTAAAGTAGTAATTTTTCTTAGTCTCCTTTTATTTCATCTTAGCTCAATTAGGCACCAGCTACTTTTGCAAGTGATACTTAATTTTTTTTGCTACAAAAAGGTCATTCATTTTCCATAGTTTGTATAAATTAGTGCAGCATTATATCGTTCGAAAGGTATTGTTGTCTTGAGTTTAACCTTGAAAAAATATTCTACCTGTGATAATTTTTCGTTGAATTATAGGGTGCCTAAAAATTGCCATTGTGGCCAATTTGGACCAATTCACGCTAGATGCTCTTCGCGCAATTAACGTGTAGGCGTATATTTAATCCATCTTAGAAATCATTCCAAATTGGTTGAAGGAAGCTTATTTGCCATAATTGATTTGCTTCTAAGAGCAAAACAAATTACTTTGTAAATTGGGGATAGTTTTTACTAAAAACTTCAAATTGAAAGAAAAAAGCTGGTTTATTTTTATTACATTTAATTTTTTTATGTTATTACTACTTCATAAACCTTAAAAGGCCGCTGGAACGTTCAGGGCTCTGCTCTGGTCCACGCATGCTTGTTTTCTATGTTTCCATTTTTTTTCGTGCAAAATTGATTACCACAAATATTTATCGGAGTAGGTCGAATGATATCTCATATTAAAGCACTTGTTGGCTTAATTACAAAAAAAAATTTTCCAATTTTTTTTTAGCAGTATAGAGAAAAACTGATGAATTGGTTTTTGTTTTGGTCTAATTTCGGGCAAATAAAGTGAGCGGGCAGGCATATATTACGAGAATAAGGCTTGAAATTTTAGTTTTTATAATTGGAATATTAGCGTTTGAAACATCTTTTGCCGCCCTCTTTACAAAAAAAACCGTAAGAAAGAACAAAAAGTCTGCAAATATATGAGAAAAATACGAAAATGTTTAAATGTTTTTGATTCTTTGATTAGTTTTTGATAAAAACCGTTGACAACTATGCGTATACTAAGCTGAATATCGAATGTACTGTTTTCTTGGGTTTTGGTCAGATCGACTCACCGCCGAATGAACACAAAGCATCAGAATTTAAGTATTTATATATTTTTTTTGTGGCCGGAGCTATCTGTGCTACTTGCACAGCAACCGGCTGTTCTTGTTTGTGACTGATATTGGTCATTTCTGTAACATGCTGAATTTATAAAAAGTTTTTTTTCATCTATATTTGAATGCTGGCTAGAGTTCCAGCTGTTTTATGTGGGGTCTAGCGATAAGCATTTCTGCCTATTAGCATGAGCTAATTGTTTTAATTAGGTATTCCTTCAGTCAACTTTTGTTAGCCTACTTTTGGTTCTGCACTTTTTAAGAAGGTGAGGAACTTTGTATTCGGGTGTCTTTTAGTTTTTTTCCTTTTTTTGTTTTCCACGCAAAATCAGCTACACAAATAATCATGGGAGAGAGTTGTGTGATATATCGTTTCAAAGCCATTTCAGTTTTAAATAGAATGACATTTTAAAGTTCCAAAAACAATTCCCAGTGCTGAGAAAAACCGTTTTCAAGTTTTCGTATTTTCGCCTAATCTCGGGCGAGTGAGCAGGCTTACATTAGCTTATATAATAGCTCAAAAGCTTACAAATGCTTCATTTAAGCGGTAAAAAAAATTAGTTTTAATCAATTCAAGTTAGTTTTTTTGAGTATTTTAGCGCTTTTTGGAAACAAAAACGTCAAAATTTGAAAAAACTGCAAAAAAGTTTGAAGAATTTTTTTGAATTTTTTTTTGATTTCTTTGTTTTTCTAGTCATTTTTGTACTAAAATTGTTGTTTTTCATTTTGCTTATTTTACCATGAATGTCAATTATGCTGAAGCTCTAGTTTTTTGTTCAGATCCTTTTATCACACCACGTAGAAAATAAAAACGACTATAATTTGAAAAGAAACTTTTTGTTGTATTGTTTAGGACTATGGCCGGAATATTCTGTGCTACTTGCACAGTAACCGGCTATCCTTGAGTTAAGAAGTTTCAATAAATATTTCTAAATTTAGCGAGAAAGTCAACAGAAGAAACCTTGTAATTGGGCATGCTCTTATATGCGCCAGTCTTATTTCAAAGTCATTGGCTGAAAACAAGTTACACGAAAGTGCCTAAAGCATCACTCTTAACGATCTCTTCCTCCCTCTCTAACCCTTGATTCGACACTGTTCGACGCAAGATTTGACACTATTCGATCTACTTTTATATCGACTTTCTTGAAATTATTTATTGGATTAGACAAAAATGTTTTAATGAAATTTTTCGTTTAGAGTTATTAATTGGTGAAGACTAACCATGCGCAACCAAGTCAGCTCCATTGTACGTGTACTTTGCTTTGTAGTGAGAAGTGGCTCTTTTTTCATTAATCACCAGCTTTACAACTGATCTGAACTTCCTTCCCCCTCCCATCGACGTCGCTGTTTTCCCCACCCCCTGCTGGCCAGGCTGAAGTGAGCTCGAAGAACAGTTCAGCGACGAGCTGGGCGAGGTCATTTGTGACGCAACCTGTGACGTAATACTTGATAACACTGCGTAATCACTGACACAACCTCGATACTTGAAACGAATGTCTCTTGCATGTCAAAAACGGTCTAAAGTTTATGTCAATATTGCTGTAAAAACAGTTCGCTCTTCCAATTGTGGAGCAAAATCTTCACTGAATGAATCCTAGTCCACGGGAAAAAATATACAGAAAAAATGAAAATTGGTTTGCGCAGGCAACGCATAAATCTGCCGGGTCGAGGCGTTCGACTTATGTTTCGATCGACTCGACCAAAAATGGCTATTTTTTGACCGACTCGACTAAAAATGGCTATGCTTCGACCGACTCAATCCAAACTAGCTATATTTCGACCGGCTCGACTGAAGGTAAAATGTGTTCGACTGTGCTCGACCCAAGCAAGCTATGTTACGACCGATTCAACTGAATGTAAAATTTGTTGGACTGTGCTCGAATAAAAAGAGATTTGTTTCGACCGCGTCAACAGAAGGTAAAATGTCTTCTACTGTGTTTGACCCAAGCAAACTACAGTGCTGGCGTAACTTATCCGGACAAAATTAAAAAAAACTTGAAACTTCAAATGAAATTTCAAACGCGTGTTTCTCAAATTAGATTGATTTTAGACAAAAATTGCTGAAACTCTTAATAGAATTATTGTGACGCAATAGAAATTTCAAAGTTCTAGCCCATCAATTAATCCCAAAAACGATCATTTTTGGCTTTGTTTAGTCAATCAAAAAATACTCCAAGCCTATTTGTTCATTTACTGACAAAACAAAAAAGTCATGCAAGCTTCTTAGGCAGCCCAAAAAAACTAAGAAAAAGGAATTTTTTCTCAGCTTTGCATAAACAAATCTATTTTCGTTTGATAGCCAAAAAATAAAATTTTTACTTTACAAAGAACCAATTTCTTTTAATAATTTTTTAAAAACAAAATAAAATATTTTTAAAATAAAATAATTTTTGCGTCCCGTTTTGGAAAATTCATCCTTTTAAAAATTTGTTGAACTACATAAGAGGCTTGCAGTGATATAGTTTTGTCGGTAAGTAAACAAATAGGTTTAGAGTAACTTTTGATTGACTAAATAAAGCCTAAACTGGTCGTTTTTTGGGAGAGTTTTGGGCCAATATTTTTCAAAACAAATTGCGCCATAATGGTTCTGTTTTAATTTTGAGCAAGATTGGTCTTCTACATTTTTTGCCCAAGATAAACCTAATTTGAGAAAAAATTTTTTGAAAATTCAAGTTCTCATTTTGTCCGGGTAATTAAAATCAGCACTGTATCTTTCCACCGACACGAATGAAGGCAAAAAGTGTTCGATGGTGTTCGACCCAAGCGAGATATGTTTCGACGGATTCGACCAAAACTTGCTCAAAAATTTTTTCTTCTTCGTTTTTCGATTTTTATTGACACTTTTCTAAAATTTATTGATTTGTTAGAAAAAATATAAGTACAGCTGCCCTCATATTTTCTGTAGCTAAATCAATAGCTTAAAGAAAAGTGTCGATAAATATCGAAAAACGAATAAGGAAAAATTTTTGAGCAAGTTTTGGTCGAATCTGTCGAAACAGATCTATTAAACAAAAAATGATCAAGTTATTAGGCGGTAAAATTTTTTTCTTAAGAAAAGTGGGAAACTTAAATAACTTGCCTGTGGCGCATTGTGATAACTGAACTCGGATGCATTCGAATGTTGTTGACTGAGCGATGGCGAGAATTGAGAACCGTTCAAGGAGAAGCGAAACGGATCCGAAGTTTCCGATCCAGGGGTCAACGAAGGTGATAAGTTTGAAGATGGCGATTGATTACAATCATAATTCGCCGAAACCGAGCCCTGCAGAGGTAACTTTGGTGCGTTGTCGTTAAATCGCCTGCGGCTTCCAGGAGAGTTGACAAAACTCAAATTTGGCGCAATTGAAAGAGTGTGATTCGATTGGAACTTTGACGGGTTATTTTGTTGCCCGGAGTTATGCGGAGTTGATGATCCCGATGCTCCAAGCAAGGTAGCAGTACCTGCTAGACTTGATTGGTTAAAAGAGCCGTTGTTGTTATTGCTGTAATCAGGGTCCATTTTTAATATAATTTGCAATCGCTGAGCAAGGTTGAGCTAAGAAGGAAATTTAGGAGCCCAACGTATCACAAGGACATGAACATGTAGTTCTATGACTAGGAGGACCTTCTGAAGTCAAGGGATGAAGTTAGTAATCCCATTATATTGCTTAAAAGAATCGAATCTACGCTGAGTAATCTAGTAAGACCTGGCTCAAAACTTGGAAAGAAAAAATTAAAAATTGCGAAGGAAATCAATTCAATAATTGATTTTGAATGGAAGCAATTATGAGTAAATTTGATGCTATGCTTCGATTGAAGCAAGTATTTTTTAAAAATTAGGATGCGAAATTTTATTACGAATTGTATCATCCACGCCTCTCATTGGTAGAATAATGCTAAGAAAACATTTTATTGGTAAGCAAAAAGAGCAAAAACAACGCAAGAGTGAAACTAAAAAATTAGCTTTTTCCAATTTGTATTAGCGATGGAAGAATTGAATTTATTCTAAGAGACATATAAAGAATTTTTCCGTTGAATAAAATGCAGCCACATTTTTTGATCGGCTCAATTAGGGAAAAAATAATGCTTATTAGCTCCGTTTAGTTTAAGCATCAAGATATCTCTCAAAAAATACTGCTACAAATGCTATTTGATAAGACATGCATCGAAAAAAAAGCACAGCAAGCATAAAAATTAAATCGAGAAACGTTATTTGCTGTTTTTTTTTCCTTTTTCAAGTTTTTTTTTCATCTTGAACTATGAGAGCGGGTTTTTGTTGCGTCATTGTAATTTCATTGTGACTGTAACACTTTTTCTTGCATGTTATGTGTTTTGCAATAGCGATCGCCGCAAAACAACTGATTTCCACTTAACTTTTTTGTATAACTTGAGATGCCGCTTTTTATAACACTGACTTTGGGCAAGAAGAAGAAAATGGGGAGAAACGAATTTGGGCTCAAATGGGAGAAGACGACTATACTGGCGTGAACAGATTTCTCAGCCTCAGTTTTTAACTTCTTCTAATCTCCTTGACAAGGACAGGAAGTTTAAAGCGGACCTCTGTGATTAAAAGTCGGATAGATTGCTGATTAAAATCAGGATTAGGACGATCTGCTCAACAAATTCCCCCTTCTTGCAATAGTGTGTATGGGGGGATCTTTTTTTTTATCATAGTACGTGTGTTAATAACCAACTTTCGCATATGTTCTGCTGAAAAATTTCCCCCTTTTTGCAATAGTCAATAGCTTGTGTTTTTTTTGTAGGGGTGTGGGAGTTATAAGCATAGTACGTTTGTTCATAATTAAGAAGTTAATTTTCCCTGTTCAGTGGAAGTCCGCTCTGAAAGTCAGCGCCATAAAAGGGGGGATTAATTAGTAGATCCGATTAACGTCTCAATTTTTGTTTATAGAAGGCAATGGAATTTGCACTTCTGGGAAAAAGGCATTGATTGGTACGCACCTATTTTGGTTTGTGTTCAAGTATATCTGAGTATCGTCTTGATTTCTTTAAAATGAGCCATTTTTCCTTCTTGAGGGGAGATAAATGCGATAAGAGCCCTAAATTTACAATATCTGATTAATGTGACCATGCGAATGGAATTGTGGTGGTGGTGGTGGTGGGGGGGGGGGGGAGGTGGAGCGATCGCAAAAATTACATCAAACTGGTTTACACTTTAATCTATGACAAATCGCGTATTAATGGGAGGGAAATGCTGATTTTTGTCCCACGCATATTTTGTTACCAGCATTTTTCAGGCAAGAATGAATATCAAAAAGCCCCTGTGGTCAGATTTGATTTCACGCCTACAAGAAAATAATAATTAATGCGATATGTCCTACTTTTTGCGTTTGAAGTTCTTTTTATGCTTGCGATACAAGTAAAAAGTGCAACTTATTGTAAATTCTTCTTTTTGCTTCATTTGCCAAAAAAGTACCTGATGAAATTAATCTCTTGACTCTTTTTTCCGCCGAAGAATTGCATGAATAAACACTTGATAGGATCAAAAAACGCAATTACAAAGATCAAAATGAGTGAATTATACAAAAAACTGTAAAATGGTATGATAGCAGCAGAACTATCACTGAGAAACTGTTGAAAAACGAGACAAAAAAACATCGATCAAAATGTCAGTCGCAATAAATTAAACAAATTCAATATTGAAACCAGGATCCATAGAAGACCTTTTGCATTTTCTAAGCCATTTTCTTACATTTTATGAATTTGATCAGTATTCTATCAAAGTCAGAGACATAAATTAGACGGAATGTAGTGTAAGACGGTCTCCAGACAGCATAATGGGGGACGATAATGTTGGATTGTCAAAAAGACTAGTTATATAAGTGCCCATTATAAGGGCATATTTGGGCCAAAATTCAGGTGAATTCATTCAAGTGAAAAAAGAGACCTTTTGGTTGCTTCTTTTTGAAAACCATGCGATTTAACAAATAAAATCCAAACTTATGTCACTGTTATTTAAGACTATAATTAAGTTGCGTTAATACGGACTTTTTATAATGAAGATGGATACTTCATACAAGAATAAACATATGCAGATTAAAGCCCCCCTTATAAAAGCTGCAGTGCTGACTTAAATTATCGGACAAAACGATTAGAAAAACATAAAAAATTCTCAAATTGGTTGCTTTTGAACAAAAAGAGATACTTAGAATTGGATTAGATTTAACTGATTTTGAATATGTAGCAAGTAGCTTGTACATCATTTTAAAAGGCAAAAACAGGCCTAAACTCTTAGGCCAATATAAGATAAACTTTTGGGGCCAAATCTTTATAACGAATCGCACAAGATCAAAAGTGGCAAACTCTAAGTATCTTTTTTGGCATCTCATTTGTCTAAAATCAAATGGACTCGAAAAAAAACGTGATAAAATGCATGGCCTTTATTCAATTTTCCGCATAATTTTCATAAAGTTTACGTTGAAAAAAATTTAAAACGTGAAAAAAAAAATATTGACTTCTTTGTGAATAGTCTCATACTTGATGTTAATAGATTGATTAAACTATAAAGCAAAACAAGACTGCTCGTATCAGGGCAAAGCCCTGAATGTTCCGACTGCCTTTTCAGGTTTATCGAGCTGTAGTAACATAAAAAAATTAAAAATAATTAAAAAAAATGAAAATTTTTTTTTCTGAAATTTGAATTTTTTTTATGAAATCATCCCCCCACACGCCATATAAAGTTTAAAAGAATAGATGTTGCTCATTGTAACAAAACAATTATGGCAAATAAGCTTCTTTCAACCAATTTGGAACGATTTAAAAGACGGATTAAATCTCCGCTTACGCGTTAATAGCGCGAAATATATCGCGCGTTAATTTTCCCAAATTGACCAAAATGGCAATCTTTAAACCCTCATAACTTTACGAAAAATGATCACAGGTGAAATATCTTTTCAAATTTAAGCTTAGGACAACAATACCTTTTGAATGATAAAAAAAAGTTCTGTCAAAAATGGCTAGTTAAAAGTCGAAACTTGTCGGAAGAAAAAAAAACCCACCCCGAGCACAAATATTCCGTCATTTTCGTATCGAAAGTCGGAACAAAAAAAAATCTTCAACGCCAATCTTCCCTCAATTGTCGCTCGCTGTGGGATATTTTACATCATCACTGTTTTTCTTTACTTTTTGAAACAATTTACAGCGCATAAAACTTCTCAAATTAAGGCAAAAACTTGAATAATACAATTGCATTAAAAAGCGTTTCAATCTTGATGGAGTTAAAGTGATAAAGCTATATGAAAGCAGTAGGATAAAACTTGGAAAGATCACAAATTATTCCGGCTTTTGTAACAAATGTAACGTAACTTTTGTGCTCGTTAAAAAATTTCGACATTTTAACTAGTCATTTTTGAATTTTTTGTTGTATTGTTGTCCTGAGCTTAAATATGAAAAGATATTTCACCTGTGATCAAATTTTGTAAAATTATAGGGGTTTAACTATTGCCATTTTGGCCAATTTGGGACAAGTAACGCGCAATATTATTTGCCCTTTTGAAGCGTAAGCGGAGATTTAATCCGTATTAGAAATCGTTCCAAATTGATTCAATGAAGCTTATTAGCCATAACTGATTTGTTAATAGGAGTAAAATTTATCACTTTGTACTTAACATGGTGTCTGGGGGGATATTTAAAAAAAAATTTTCAAGCAGTCTTGGTTTATTTAAGCAATACGTTTACGCTTTGAGCAACAAATGTATGGAAATAAGAACTAGCATTAATTTTTGTAGCAATTTTACTTTTTTTCTAGGTTTGATCCTACGATTTTCCAAAAAAGTGATTGTAGTTCATTTGAAATAACAATTTAATGCCGAAGTATGATGAAGGACAAACGTTCGAATTTTAACCTCTATATAGATCTTAAAAAGGTAAATTTTATTTTAAGGCATTAACACTACTTGGTTGAAAAAACTGCTGCGTATAACCTAATATTTGCAATATTTTAAAAATTATCGTAAATTAACTCGCAGCAATTATTTAACTTTCGGCAAAATTAAAATTGTTTTTGAATTTAATAATAAGATGATCCAAATCCAATTTTTGTTGATAACTTGAGAAGCTTACAAGTAAAAAACATAAAAGCTTGTCACTACGGTTAAGTTATCCATAGGAGTCAATTTATTCATTGTGTTTAAGAAACAGGTTTGTGTCAGAGAGAGCAAGCGAAAACGAAAAACTGGGCCGTTCTCTTAGTCGAGTCATCTTTGTTTATAAATTGACATATTTTTGCCATATGTTTGCCTCAGAAAGATGCCATATATTGTTTTCTTTTGCCTTAAAATTTAGTCAATCGATGATCAGCAACAAGTAAGGACAGGACAAGTGGCAAAAAATTCCCTGATAGCAGTTGCACAACAAAACACTTTTTTTTACTGTTCTTAAGTGTTTGCTAGTGTTCTCATTCCAAAATTAATAAATTAAGTGTCTGTTCTTAAAAATTTCAAGATTAACGACAAATCTTCCAACCATACTTTTGTTCCGACTTTCAAAAAAAGTGATGGATTATTTGTGCTCAGGGTGTTTTTTCCTCCAGATTTTTTCTCCAAGTTTTTTTTAACTAGCAATTTTTGAAAGATTTTTTTATATCATTCGAAAAGTACTGCGGTCCTGAGCTCAAATAAAAAATACTACTTCGCGCTACTAACGCTTAAGCAGAGATTTTTATATACGTAATGGAAATTGTTCCAAAATAAACTGAAGTATGCTAATTGATCTATTTAATACGTTGATATTTGTGAAAGAAATATATCTTTTTGACTCTGCATAGCGTGCGAGGAGATGATTTTCAAAAAAAAACATCACAAATTTTATATGAGCAGTCAAGTTTATTTTAAATAATTGTTTTTGAGCAGTCAAGTTCATTTGAAGTGAATATTTTCGGAGACAATTTAGTTTGATTCTTTTGTTTCAAAATTATGTTTTTGTAAAAACATATATTTCCTAAAAAGTAGTCGTGCATAAAACCAATTTGACCGCCACGGCATGCAACCGACTGTAAGTTAAAATGGCCAGCATAGAATTAAACTGCAATCAATTATGGAGAGAAAACGGACTAAGTTGATGGTACAATAGTGAGAAAGGTTTCTTAAGAAACTTACAAGTTCTGAAATTTAGATACAGTATTAGAAAATATTTCGATCTAATACTTCGGTGGTGTCAATTAAAACATCGAATAAACAAATGTAAGGATTATAGGTCAGATGAAAGAAATGTTTGAAACTTTTTAGGATTTTTATAAGTTTTTCAATTCTTGCTTAAGTGATTTGAGATTTTCGTAAGAGATCAGACATTTTTCTCAAAGATTTTTTTATGATTTTTTTCGAATGGGATTTTTGGTTGTGATATTAAGGCTGAAAGGCTTGTGTTGATGATAAAAACCATGGTTTTCAAATTTAAAAATGTTAGTAAGATTTACAGAAACAAATAAATTGAGATTATAATCAGACTTTGGATAGACTTTATGTTATTGAATGCTCACTGTAGTCTGACAAATTTTTATAATTTTTTTCTCTTTTTATGACATTTTAGAGATTGATAATGAAATTATAAGCCTGATATTTTAATTTTATTAGAAAATATGATTTGAATTTTGAAAATTTTTGAAAGTTATATATAAATATAATAAAACAAATTATCTAAATTCGGCAAACACGTGAAATATTTCAACAAACGTTTTTTTTTTCGAGTTGGGGGTCTAAAACGTTTGCAATTTTTTTTTGATAAAAGTTGGTCCCAGAGTTAACACAGAGAAAAATGAACACAGTAGTGCCAAATAAAAATCTCAAATTTTAGTAAAATGAGCTCATTCATCTCCTTTTATAGCATATGGGCTACTCGAATTAGGCTTATTCAGCCCCTGTTGTACAAAAAAGTCCTCAGAGGACTCGAACTTTTTCATTGAGGAAGGAATTATGCTCTTCTTCCCCTGTTCTATCGATTTTCAGAGTTACTGTTTAATTTCTTTGTTTTAACCAACATTACGAAACTGATTGATGCCAATTTGCAACAAATTGGGCTGATTAAGCATCTTTCGCTAAAAATTGGGCTTAATCAGCTCGTGTTTTGACAAATTCAGCGCATTCAGCTCCTATTGTTTAACGCCTGGGCCAATTTAACTCCATGCTGATAAAAAGGGGTACCAATAATTGTACCCAGTTTGCTGAAAATTGGACTGATTCAATTCTTTTTGCAAGAAATATGAAAAATTTTCTATAGATTGGTCTCATTAAGCTTCTTTGAGGCTATTCAAGCCCTTGCTCATGAAACGGTATCCAAAAACTTGGGGCTCATTCAGCATTCTGCATGAGAAGACTAAAAATGGGATGATTTTATTAATGATGATTTTTTTCCTGATCGGGAAAAAGTGTTATCATGAGCTGAAATCAATTGAGAAGAATTTTTTTACCGCTTACAGCCAGTTATGGCAGTCAGTTTTTATATTTTGCCATCTGAATATTCTCGATTTGATAAAAAAAAAGTACAGACTGATGTTTTCGTTAAAGGCAAGTTCTCAAATCAACGTTTTTTTTATAGAGACAGCCAAATAAAATTGGAATTCTCATTCAAAAATCAACAAATTTTGCTTGAAGAATTTGCATTTAAAATAATTTCATAGCCTTATTTGACTCAAACATCAGGATGTAAAGTCAACTGTAAAGCATGCATTCTAATTTATCTTCACAAAATTCATATTCAAGAAAACCAGTCTACAGTTCTACATAAATTGCATGTTACCGTATAGAAAATCCATTTAAAAATTACAAAATCTGTATCTAATTTGTAAAAAATGCTCCCACTATGTTCTTTAATTTCTTAAAAGTTTCTTAATTTTTTTTTCAATTGAATGTCGTTTTCTTTTGTTCGTAGATCAGACGAAAGCCTAAATTCAAATATATTTGACACTTTTTGTAAAATTGGCAAGACAGACGACATTTTTAGAGAAAAAATTACTCAAAAAAAACAAGCAAAAAATGTAAAGGAAAGTCTTTAAAATTTTTTAAAATTTTCAAATAATTTTTGCAGACTTTTTCGATTTTTTGAATCCCGAAATGCGTTAAAAACTAATTTAATTAGAACAATTTAAAATTTTCAGGGCTTGAATAGACTGATTTTTTTTTAATATAAAAGCCAATAATGGGCCTGCTCGCTCGCTTTATTCGCTCAAAATTAGACTAAAACATCAAAAATTTCAATCGGTTTTTCTCGACTCTGAGGAAAAAATTTTTAAATTTTCAAATATCATCGAATCACGACTAAAAGGGCTTTGAAATGAAATATAACTCGAACCTGTCCGATGATTGTTTGTTGTATCTGATTTTGCTCGGAAAAAATTGAAAAAAAAGCAAAAAAAATTAAAACAAACCCGATTACGAAGTCCCTATCCCTTTTCAATGGTAGGACCAAAATTTGAACAAAAATTTTTCAATAGTAAAATTTTATATCTAAGAAAGTTATAAAATTTTATATCTAGTAAAGTTTATATCTAGTAAAGTTACTAAATATTTCTTGATAAGAGTTTGAAAAGTTTAGAATTTCTTGTTCATAAAATTTTTTTTATTTCGAAACCTTGCAAGTTCTATTGCAAGTTGCTTAGGTTCTTACACTCAAATACACTTTTTTGCCCATACACCTTCGGAAATCAATGATTACATTGTAAAATTGATGTGCATGTACAAAAATGACATGTGGGGGAACGGTTAAAAAAAGGATTAATGATTTTTATCTCTAAATTAATTTTATTAAAGTTCGAGGTCTCGAACAGAAAATCCTTCAGTAAATCACGATAATGGAGAAACTTCAGTTCGGGAAAGTTGAAAGTTGATCTGTTTCTCGATACTCTTTTTTCCGAATCAGCGGTAACGAAATGGGTTTTTTACGCGATGCTGAAAACATTAAAAATGACATCGGCTTGAGATGGATTAAAAAAGTTTTTCAATATTTTAACTATGATTTTAAAGGCAAATCATAATAATAAAATGGATGAAGTCAAAAAATCACTTGCGCGACAGAATTTTTAGGCTATTTTTATCAAACAAATATCTCAACAGAAGAGGGTCCGATTTAACTGGTTTAAGTAACAAAGCACTATTTATGCTATCATGTTTTATACAGTCTATTAATAACGGGTCTAAAGACTACAGAATCTAGAGATTTTCTATGGTATGTTTAGGGCAAGATTTGTGATGATTGATTGAGTTAAAATCGAACCACGTGTTAATTTACCCGCGTAGCAATTTTAATTCAGGCGGCGATAAAGCGATAGGCGGGTCAAGAATCCGATTAAATGGGCGGGCTTAGCTTGGCATAAGAGGGTTAGACCAGATAATAAAATCAGGAAAATCGGGAACCTTTCAGTAAACCGAACTGTCAATAAATCTACAACACGCCATTTCTTAGCTAACTCAAACGTCTTTAAATATGATTTATAAAGAGGTAATTCAGACGCTACAGTGAATAAATTTCGGTTTTGTGACCTAGTCTGACACTTTTCGGTTTAACGATGCCTTGATTGACTGAACCAACACCGGAAAATCAGTCTGTGACCTGAGGAGTAAGTGAAAACGACGGAGAAGGTCTTTAAGTGAAAACAAGTGATTATATCGTGCTGGACGCTCTCGGGCTATGAACCATGCAAACAGCCGATAGCCCTCACAGTCGAAAGCTGAAAAAATTTGCAATTTAAAAAAAAATAGAAATTCGGATACAAAAACAATTAGATGTATCATTCCAATACACGGTGTTACTTCTTTTCTTAACAGACTGAACAAACAATTCTCCAAAAATTTTGATTTTTTCTTTTTTGGCTCAAAATTTTTTAATAGTTTCAATTTTTTTAAATTTCACAAATCGATTGTTTTAAAAATACGGCGCATGTGCAAAAGGGTACTCAGGTTGTATTAATCAATCTAGTCAAGTGAGAAGTATCGAAGGTCAGTCATCATGACTTCAAAGGTGTACATAAGAGGCCCCTCATAAGCAGTTGCTTTTTATGAAAACCAAGAAGTCGAAAACCAAACAAATCAAGAAGGCGAACAATAATATCAAAATGGACACCAAGCGAAATAAAGCAGCAAATAGTGGTACAAGGACGCAGCTCCAGTTTTTTCTATAACATTAATAAACTAGAAACGTCGGCATTACTTTTCTATAAAAAGCAAATGATTAGGTTAGAGTAAGTATAATAGTGCATGCATATATAAATAACTAAAGCTGCGATAACAAGCCTTTTGAAGTGTGATGATTTTAAATTTCATTCATTCAAACTCTTTTTTTAAGTTAATTTTGTTTCGGAAAATTTGTTTTCTACAAAGACTCACAAAATTGCTCTCGGCTAAATTGCAGTTGTGTTGTAAGTTTATGATGAGATAGCAGGTCTTTTTAATCAAAAAAATTGATTATGAAGTTGATCAGTTTTCGTTTGCCCGAGGCTGGTGCGAATATCCGATCGTAAAAGTTATATAATCAGTAATTTCAACAACGAGCTGAGTCTAAAAATAAAATTGAAAATCTTTAACTTGACGTCAATTCACAATGAAAAAACTCAAGTCACATGTCATTTTTTTAATTTCGGTTTTTCTAATCAACCATTGATTCAATGATTTTTTAGAATTTTTTCACTTTAAAAAATCAAACTTGGATTTAAGAAAAAGGAGAACAAATCATTCAAGTCAATTTAAAATCAAAAATTATCAATATAATTGAAAACGAAAATATTCAGCAACTTGAAAGGGTCGGATAACGGGATTTTATGCTCTGGTTTTGCTATATTTGTTTTTTTTTGTGAACACTGTCTTTTTCTGGAACCAACCCAGTAAATTTCGGCTATTCGCACAGCTCCCGTTTTGGGCGCGGTTAAAATGGTTGTTGAAAGGGCGAAAAATTTCACGCAGCATGGGTGGCAACTTCAAATCTTCAATAGCTCGCCAGTCAGACAAAAGAAGGCTGAACCATTTTCCTTTGGACCCAGAATTCTACCTCATAACGGTTCTAACGGTTCAATGGTTTCCGGGCTGAAGTATTTTTTATTAATTTGATCAAAGCTTTAACCAAGCAACAATAATAGAATGACTGACTTATGCTGCGAATTTTTTTTCAAATTCACAACCTAATGTAATTCACAAAAAAGCCTTCCGGTGTGTCAGCGTGAATGAATTTTTCAGACAATTGCGCGGGCGAAAAAAAATTGTAGAAAATACCGAGCGTCTAGTATTGTTTTAAGCAGACAAAAGGAAATTGTTGATATGGTAAGGGGAAAAAGTCATACGTCTTTCATGTTGACGATTGACTTGCTGCTGTAGAATTGGTAAACAAATTGGTAAACCAAATTGGTAGACAAATTGGTAAACAAATTATAACTATATCTCACTTTTATCAATGAATATACTCAGCATTGATGTAGTAAGTATTTTTGAAAGAATAACCCCCGCGGAACCGAGAAACTCCTTCCTTAAAGAAAAGAGCAGAGGAGAAAATATGCTCGGGCTGAGCATGATTATTGCTTCGGCTTTTTTGAACCATCTGAAAATGGTTTCAAAAAACGGTTTTCGCCTACCTTTTTTTTTTAGGTCGGCCACCCCCTAAATCCGCCCAATTTTGAGTGGTCAAAACCCTAGATGAAAACCCTAGCCAAAACACTAGATTGACAATAATTGGGAAAGATAGAGAATGAAGCAGAAAATTACCGTTGCATAGTCCTGTTATCACCGTAACCGAAGTATGCGTGATGCGAAAAATTATCTAGGGATATATATCAGAATTATTAAAGCTAGTTTTCAAAAAAAAAACATGCCAAGACAAAATAATGTAAAGCTAGAATCGAAAGAAAACTTACCAAGCGGTAAAACAGAACCAAAAATACCGATCAGAAACTGTTTCAGCCAAAAAAAAAATGAATAGAAAATATTCGAGTCCCTCTCCACAAAAAAACACCCACACAGGCACACAAACAACTTTTCTGCCCATCAAACGATGCAATATAAGGCCACTAAGTCCATGACTTTCAGTCGAAAATCATTTGGAGATAATATAGGTTTTAAGCAAAAAAAAACAAAGAAAATACTCGGTCAAGGCTTATAAAAATTTTAACAGCCAAGTAAATCAAAACACAAAACGCCAATAGTTTCTGTCAGATTTGAATCCAGGATCTTTGCCGTCTCAGGCGTATTTGATATCTCCAGACCAAACTTGCCGGTGATTCAAATATTTTTGTATTCATTATGCACTAAATCTAAACAAGCTTTTCAAGAAATAATATTTTAAATTATTCAAGATGTTCAATAGACCAAATCGGTTCGCGCAAATTTTAAGTTTTTCTATGAAAGCTATTTCAGCTGTGAAACTTAGATTAACTTCAACATATATCATAGACCGACGTATTCGTTTAGGTTTCTATGATCAAGCTATCCAAGCTATGAAACTTTGAAATTCTTCAATTTGTTTTATAGACTGTATCGGTTTGCAAAAAGCTTTACACTTTTTGCTAAGCAAGCTATTCTAGCTATGAAAATTTGTAGATTTTAAGTTAGGTCATAGTTAGAACGGTATGCTAAAAGTTAGTGTTCTAAGGATGGAGGTTCGTTTTTGACTGAAATTTTGGACATAAAGTAAACAGGTACTATCTAGCCTTGAAGCTGAATCGAGTTCATATTGCGAACTTGGTTTCCTAAGTTACCATTGTTTTCAGGTAGGTCAGCTTTACGTCATCCAACAGCCCTAAGAATCTGACTTATCCTTTCATGGCATTCCAACAGATTACCATCTTATTCGGAAAGTTTTCCTTTGTTTAAAATTTTTTTTGTTTGATGCCATGACTTCGGCTAAGTCTCGAACGGATTTCGATTGCGATGACGGGTTGGCAGACATAATTTGAGATATCTTGATATACGCACGATTTGTGCAAAATCTAAAAACATGGATGATAAACGGATGAGCTAGGAACATCTGAGGCAATCAGTTTATTTGTAAAATGCTCCAACGCTATTGTAGGAGAACGTTACAGTGTTTGGCACAGCAACTGGTCTTACCGCTTCAAATACGTGCGGTGTTTTTTTTCAAAAATGACGGGTAACAAACTGCAGAGGTCAGTGTTGCAATTGCACAAAGCAACGATTCGAGGTTTGGTTACTGAACTGACTGAAGTAGCTGGGATGACCTCATGGGGTACTCTCAGCCTTAACTCAATGATTTGAAACTGAAAACTGGTGGGGATGTCTTTCTTTATGGTTCAAAATCAACGTGTAATTGCCTACATTGTGCTGAATATCATTGCCGGGAGCAATCTGCAAAAGATCTAGGAATCCTAGGAGGGACTTCATCCCAATGCAACATTACTGAAGACAAACCACCTAATTGCGCACATAGCAATGAGACACCAAATGGGTGAACCGTTATAATGAATCATGCTCAATCCAGATATGTGTGCGGTCGGTTAAGTTACGATCACTGCTGGATTCGAATTCGGCACTTGTTTTACACAATGTTTTGAGCGTTTGTCTGCTGTTTTTCTAGGAGAGCTTGCCAAGCTAGCAAACAAATCAACATAGTCGGAGTCTCCCGTCAATTCAGCTTCAACTAATTTGGCTTCGACATGAATTTTTCTGTTCGACTCCGGTTTTGTACTTCTTTCAAACTTTGCTTGTTTTCCAGTAGGCGCATTGATATTTCATTTTGTCGTTCGACCTCTTCTGTTCTTAAATTAGCCAAGAATAATTTTTTCCGTGGACTTAGAGATGGTTTTTTTTGACCTGTTACCCTGGACCAAAGTAAGTTTCGAGGTTTTTCGAAAGCTCTCGAGGTAGCCACTTCCCCTGAACGCGATGAAATGGACCTTGCTTTTTCACGAGATCGAACATAGTTTCTACCTCTCTGATTTATCTCATCGTGCCTTTCTTTCCAGTTCAGCCATTTTTCCAATTTTTCACAAATCTTATCTTTTTAGTAGCCTTTTGCGCCATTTGATTATCTCGTCACTTTCATTTAAAGCTTTTTCAAGAAAAATCTTTCCATTTTTGATGTACTTCGCATTAATTATCTTGAGGTTTTTGTTCTGTATGGCTTCCTAAATTTATTTTTGATTATTGAGGACCTCAAGTGTCAATTTGAGCCGAGACTCAAGAAGCTTTTTTACTTTTCGGCCTAACTCCTTGTTCAATGTGCCAAACTATTATGATGTGTTTTTACAACTCAAGTGAGGAACGCACCGAACCTTGTTTTATAACAAAAATGAGCGAAATGAACTTCAAGCATAATAACACAAATGGAACACTTTTTATAACCATTGCAAGACAAAGTTTCTCAGCTAAGGACTTTTTTTCTTTGGCTAGGTGCTACTGAAATTTGACAAACATGGGAATACGTTGCTTGAAGAGCGCAAGTTGCTTCTTATTCAACCTAATTTTCCTCTTAGCGCCAGTTGTTTTGAGGTTTTTCCCGTATCTGCAAATAAAGCGGAAAATTTTGATCTCAGATTTATCGGGCTGGTGTAATGTACCAAGTATTGAGCCAAGTACTGTTTCTGCAATCATTTGTCCTTATTTTTACATTTTTACACCTGAGCTATTTAAATTTCTATTTTTCCCTCAAAATTCGGTCTATTGAAAAAACGCGGTGGTACTTTTTTTTATTAAACTCGATAGCATTTTAAGATGGCTACAAGTTTATTTTCGGTCAAAAGTTTGAATTTATTGCTGCGATGCCTACTAAATGAGTGATTTATGACCTCCTACCAAATCAAATTATTTGCGTTATGATATAAATATGACTCAAAGTATTGCCGAACAGTCTTACGGGGTTTAACGGCGATCAGAATAAAACCAAGACCAGGTATGGCTTTGTAAGTATATAAAATTATTATTAAAGTAAGTATTAACATTAATAGTTTTATACCAAAAAAACGGAGGCGGTGGACTTTTTAACTTCACAAAAGTTTTCGGGTAGAATTATGGGCGTCGTAGAAGTTCAGTCAAAATCCTTTAAACTAATCGGAGTAAATTTGAAGTCACCGGAGCTCAAACCAATTTATACGACTAATGATTTTTGAGCTGATTTGAATAAGACTGAAATTTTCAAGCATTCCGGTCGAGGGCGTTACGTTTTGTTAAAAACTCCTTTTTCAAGTCTGTTTTTTTTGCACTTTTTTGATAACGGGGCGGATACCGAGTTCGAACGAAATGGCTTCAAAATCTTGTCCCAAAGTTTCGCAAAATAAGCGTAACCTTTGCTTTTCTATAAGGTCCAAAATTATGGCTGCAAAATTTCAGAAGAAATTGAGTCACTTGCTTTTTTTAAGTCAGAGTATTTTATTTAAAAATGTCTAGACCTTTTACTGTGCATCTTAGCACACCTAGACCAATGTAACATAAAAAGGGATTTCGATTAGATTTTTTGGATCAGTTTCACAGTTTCTTTGACAATACTTCTTTTGATCTGAA